GGGAGGGTGGGCGGGTGGGGAAAGAACACCATGTTTATAAAGCATTGCTCTAGTTTCAAGAGGGTGCTGTGCTTAAAGCACGACATGAAGCTCAAGTGCAGGAGTCATCCTAATTGATATTTCTTTTCGTGCATTGTTCTCGTTGATTTGTAACCAAGTCAAGCTCTTGTACAAAGGCATGTTCGATGTTGACTGTAACTTATGATGTACAAATATTTTTAAAATCATTGCTTAAATATTTGTTAGAAAAATAAATTAAAAAACAAAAAAAGCAAATTCCGAAAATAACCAGGGAGGATGGAAATGAGCAAAGAGAATCCCACAAACCTCTCTTTTTGGTGGGAAGCTGTGCCCCCAGAGCAGGCAAGAACATTGGAAAACTCTTTTCGAGGGGGTGGGGGAAGTTTGTTAGAAATCATCTTGTTACATAGTTGAACTTGCCCAAGTGAGGACCTTCTCATGGGCAAACTGGACAAAATACAGCATCAGAATTAATTAGTGGCTAGGGAAATGCACTCTCACACACATTCACATTAAGGCCTGAATAGAAATAGAAAGATGTAGGAGTTTGTTGCATATCAGCACCATTGGAGATCTTCAGTGTGGTAAGAGGATGAAATCCTGACTGTTTTGAATGTAGAACAGGATGTAACAGATGGAGCTATTACTGTGCTTAGATTGCCAATGTGCTTTCTATCAAAGGACTGGGACCTAGGGGGTGAGGCCTGTATGCTTAGTGTTGTCACATACTTCTTGTGTGACCTTGGGCGAGTTACATGGGGCCTCATCCTTTGAGGTGAAGTTTGTTAGAAATACTGCCGTAGTGAACTAAGGAGCCTCTCAGGAGAAGCTCAGTATTGTACAGGATCAAGCCTTAAGCCTCATTTTCCCTTCACTTTTGAAATAAGTATTTAGAGTGATGGATTAAAAAGTGGTATCAAAGCTCAAAGTATCAGTTGACCTGAAAACTTGGAACAAGCCCCAAGCCTGGTCCAGCCCTACACAGTGTAAAACAAGACCCAGTGTCTGGCACGGGCAATGAATCTCAATGAGCATGAACATGGGATTTGTTAGGCTTGAGCAAAGGGGATCCTCTTGTCCAGGGCTACCGCTCAAGACTCGTCCACAGCTAAATGATGTGGTATCTTGGGGAGTGTGAGCTCCACAGGATGGGCAGCAGGAGGACACCGAGTTTGGCATTTAAGTTCACATTTCAGGAGCGTGTTCATCAGATTTGTGGCTGTGGCAGGAGAGGAACTAAAATCCAGTCTGGGCAGAGTATGGTCCTCCAACACAGATATTAGAGATTTGAATGGTGTTAACGAGGGCAGGACTGGGCTACCGGGAGTCATGATAAATAACTGTATAGTGTAGCTAAAACTGTAGTGCCAAATGCCATCGTCTGACGTTTCCCCTTCCCATCTCCATAGTTCACTTGTAAATTCATCTTTCACTTGAAATGTACAAAACCCTCCTCCCGACACCAAAAGCAGATCGCCAACCAATCAGCGAACAATTTATAATTTTGTGGTGTATTTTTTGTCAGTAGGTAGCAAAGACTGAAGTATTTTTTGGTGTAATTCTTGAACTTTTCTGACAGGAAAAATAAAGCTAGATGTGTCTGAGAGTCTCAGTCGTCCCAGAGGGTTTCTTTCGCCTGGCTCCTGCAGTGTTGCTGTGAGAACAGGGTGGTGGGATATAATGTCTGGGTGCCTGCACCTGCTGAGTGTGGATGTCTCTGTTGTGTGGAAAGGAGAAGTTTGAACCTTGCATGGGTCATTGCAATCTCCTTGTTTTTATTGCTTGGCCAGGGGGAACCTCTCACATTTGGGACTTTGTTTTTTTTCCCCAGTTTTTCAACTAAACAGCTTTCGGAACAAGAGTTGCTGAAATCCTAACGTGTTGCACGCTCTGTTCTCAGTTGCGTGCTGCTCTCCTTGCCCCATAAAGAAGATAAAAATCTCATCTTTGGACTTCTTGGGATAGGCACAAAAGGTCTATAGCAACCTGGTACCCAGGTAAGTGGCACAGGCAATAGAAAAAGCAAAGAGGTGGAACGACCTGGCTACATTGTGCTACAGGTATTCCTGCTGGACCTTGAGAAGTGTAGTGTAAGTTAGAGTAACCTCAAGGCTATTCTAACTTATAGCTGGACAGGCTACTGACTGCCTCAAGACTCAGAGAGACACAAGGGTAGCTTAAAGCAACCTGTCCCACCCTTCCATTCCTGCCTCAGCTACAAGAATGAGGGAATTGAAAGTAAGGGCCAATAATTTTTACTGGCTTGACAGAGATTATAAGTTTACTAGAAACACCCATTTTTAAGTACCATTTCCTAGACTGATAAAGACTTTCAAACAATTTCAAGTGGCAGTGATGTACTTCAACAATTCTCCCACTGAGGGGGGTGGCCTTTATGGTCAGTGAGAAGAAATATTGCAAGAGAATACTATGCGAGAAAGCACACCAACACCGCTGTTACACAACCTGTAAAAGGGCTAGCTCAGGAGCCTGGCTCTGGCTACTCTTGAACTTTGGGACAGTTTGGATCTGTATCCAAACTTTGTGGCTGACCACACAGGGAACATAAACGTGCATTCATCCCATCTTGCCAAGAAAGAGGATCGTATTTCCTTAAATCCTGCAGTTCTTTGAAACGAAGTGTGTCTCTCTTTCTAAATTTGCTAGTTTCAGAAGGCTCACAGAAGCTTTATCAATCCTTCGGATGAGTTCCCTTTTCAAAAATTTCAGCATTGTGAAATTGAGCTGCTGGAAAAAAAAGAGCCATGCTGGTGTTAGAGGTCGCCACAGGGAACCTGCAAAATGTATTAAAAAGGATTCAGTGCTCTCTGCAAAATTGAGTCCTGGGTAATTTGACCATGGGATTTCTATTGCTACTATCACCTTAGCACTCTGTTTACTTTAATAAAAATACCAACCAGAATCAAATCACTTGTATTAAAGAGTAGAGGGATTATTTGATAACTGAAACTAATAAAGGAAGCGCCAACTTTCTATATGGAATAGCATAAAACTAGGGCCCGATAGTGCCAAGGGGCAGTAAAAGGCAACTCCTGTTAAAAGTTCCATTACTCTGAACATTGCATTGACACCATTATTATGGGCCACGCAGAAGCTGCAATATGGATTCCAAGATCAGCCACTTACTTCAGTCACAGAAATGGAAAGGGACCCTACTGAAACTTCAGCATCTTTCTTCCTTTTATTTCAGCTTTTCTTAAAGCTGACTACTCCAGATAGGACCCTTTGCTTTCTGTGCAGGTTGAAGAGGCTTGGCCAGCAGTTGCCAATGACACTGTCAAACTGCTTGCTGTCCCTCATGGAGTTGGGGGTTCCTGGTACCCCCTGGGGTCTGTACAAGATGCAGTTTTCACAGATTAACCATGTTCTGGGAGAACCTTCTATGGGATGCCTAAGCACCCGCTACTTCTTGATGGCAAGCTCTACTACTGGTTGAACACTACTACACACAGATATTTGTCTGAGTTATATGTGGGCCTGTCAGGCAATTCCTTTTTCAGTAAGCCCAGAGAACTTGCTGTCTGGCCCTTAAACCATGCTTTTCAATATATTCCACTTCCTGCCTCTTCCTCCCTTCGACCAGTCTTGTCTTTGTGTTGATCTCTGCACAAATCCCTCGTCCTCATAGCTAAACCCCACCTACTCCAAATCCCAGGCTATTTTTATGGGATCAGCTCCTCATAAAGGAGGCCCTCTATATGGGCTATCAGTCATGGCTGCCAGATTTTTCCAACTCTACTGATGATGACTGGGTCATTGGGCAGGAGGTAGGCTCAAGTTTAACATGAATTTTCTTCCTTGGTAAAAGCAGATTGTGGCTAGCAGGGCTCCTACCCCCTCCTGAAGAAATAGAAAGGGGACTCAATGATAGTATGAGTCAAGCTGTTGGTTGTTTTCCATGTTTGAAAACAAATTAATCATGGGGAGTTTCTGTGTCACTGTATGACCCCATTTACCCATCCACTATTGTATTAAGGCCTAGTTGGGAAGAAATGGTTCATTTCTTCTCCGGGGCTTGGGCATGAGAGATAGGTGTTGGTCATGTAGCGTGCCTGAGTTGATGTGAATGAGCTATAAGGAGCTGTCAACAAATGAATAGAGTAATCTGGAACATCCAGTAGAAGACCAGTCACCTGACAGTAATTTTTAATCACTGTTGGCCAAGAGGCTGTGAAAACTCTGGGACTCAAGGGGTACATTTTTCTTGTGGCATCAGCTGTGCTGGACTGTTTCTCAACATGGACGATCTGATTGATCAGCAGCAACAGATGTTGGCAGGGCTGTTTTTCTTCAGTGTCCAGCTCCTGCTGCTCCTGGGGCTTCAGGAGCGAGATCTTGCAGGACAATGGCCCTGGATGCTCCGAATCAATCCATGAATTGCAGGTTCCAGGAATCTCCTGCAGGGGATGTCCAGAGGCATGCAATCCTCCCCTATAAGGCATCACCACCTGGGAATAGGTTTGGTTGTGCAAACATTTTTGGGCAATTGGAGTATGACAAGGGGCAAGAACATCCGTTTGCTTCCAGCTTGTGCCACCATAAAAATATTTATGGCAACACAGGCCAATGAACATTTGCACCCAAGGTGCTGGGATGCTGCACTATAGCCACGGCTACTCAGTGCAGCGAGAGAGATAGGATCCTGGATATATGGGGCCAGAGAGCTTTATTGCCAGCATGGATGTGCATGTAAGCTTTACCTTTCCTTTCTCACCATTTGCCAAAAATAATGCATTTTGCCTAACAAAAACTTTCTTGTTGTGGAAGGGCTGTCCTACACA